GGTGAGATGTTTTTTCAGAGCCCAATAATTCCTTCCCAATATTAAATCTGACATATCAGTCTTACTTGTCAGTGAGAAATCTCTTTCTCAAGACCACAGCGGCTCTGGTGGTAAAGGTGGTGGGCGATGACGGAGGTGCGGATCGTGTTTGCGGTGGCACGGTGATACGTCGACACGGTGGTGGGCTGCGACGGCCGAGTGGTGGTATGACAGTCGACTCTGGTGGTAGCATGATATGGTCTGACGGGTGGCGCGGAGGTCCGACAGGTGGTCGAGTTCATGACGCGGTAGTTCGGCGAGTGGTCCAGTGGATTGCGCAGTGGTCGGACGGGTGCTACCGTGATGACATTGTGGTCCGGTGAACTGACCAAAGAAGGCTTTCACCCCGCTTTATAAATAAAGCAAAGATCAACAACAACCTGGTAAAGACGCACTCCACCACAACACACGCACACACCCAAGGTGGGATACATAGGCGCTGAGCTCACCAACACGATCCCAAGCACTACTCGAGCAACCGGGGCTACACTAGTGAACACGCAACCACAAAGAGATGCAGTTGCATACGACCGACCGTGGTCTCTAAGACGGTGCCTTCAGGAAGGGTATGATACGGGAGCGCCGCCATCGCCCGATCCGAGGATCAAGGTTTCCCCAGGAACCACACAAGAGACAATGAGAGCCGCGACGACGCCTTCAAGAAGGGAACGAGCTACGCCGCCGCCAGTCTGTCTGAAGATGGAGCAGGTTTTCAACCCAGCCAACACTCACTACCATCGAACGACGCACCCCGACAACCATGCCACCCACACGGCCGTGCCCACTGGGCAGCACCAAGCGACAGGCTCCGCCCGTGAGCACCGCGCAACTACCAGCGGGGCCGCCGCCCCGGAATCCAAGACCCAGGAACCACCTCACCAGACACCCGCCGCTACCCCAGCGGAAGAGCCGATGGGATCCCAGGGCAAACAAGTCAATCGATTCATCCTACTGCTCTGGGCACGAGACGAGCTTGGTCCTGCTGCCGGGCGCGAGACGAGCTCGGTTCTGCTGCCGGGCACGAGACGAGCTCGGTCATGCTACCCGAGCATGGGACTAGTGATGGGCCGCGGCAGGGAGAGGGCCATCCCATCGACAAAGATTGCGCCTGGGCATCAAGAAGAGGGGTCGAAGCCCTTCACAGGCCGCTCACCTATGGGCCGACACCAAAGAAGTCCAGCCGCCGCCTTGAGACGATCCTGACCACCGCCATGAGCCACCACCACACCGTGGTAGCCCACATCCATGCCGAGCACAACCCACGACACCTACCATTGTCGGATCGGCCGGGGTCGACAGGTCTACCACCACCACCAGGAAGCGCCGCAGCAGGGGCGGCCACCGGAGCAAGCCACCACCTATGGCGAGCCGGAGCCCCGCCACCACAAGGGCCCAGGTCACCCGAGCCGCAGCCACGACAGATCTGGGCCGCGCCCAAACGCCGCCGCCGCCAGGAGCAGGGCACGCCCCCAGCCCGCACCAGCCACCCACGCCGTCGCCTGTAAGCCTCACCCCCATCGCCAGCCACCGTCGTCGCACTGCCGCGCCGTGAGCCAGCGCCGTGCCGCCGCCCAATAAGGATGGCCGGCACCATCCAGTGCCGCTCGGGGGAGGAAGAGGCCCCGCCGCCGCCCGAGGTGGCCGGGCTTTGCCCGCCAGCATGCTGGGGCGGCGGCGAGGGGAGGGAGAAGTGAGGAGGGGGCCGAGCCCCGCGGGCTAGGGTTTCCTCCTCGGCGGCGCTCGCGGGAGTGGGCAGGGAGGGGAAGGGAAGGGGCTCTTAGTGATCGTACTTCGATCTGGCTAATTCACTCAGGGTCCGGTGCACTTCTCGGGCGTCTTGGGGCACCTAAGGTGTCAGTCTAGGCACTGTCTGTGCTTCTAGTGTGTTCCCTCGTCTGCGCCTTGAGGTTGTTTAAAAGGGTATTTTGTTTTTAGACAAAGGGTGAACTCTATTGGTTCAAAATGGAGCACCAAGAGGATACAAACAAAATGAGCATACACCCGGCCTCTGCAGAGTTATGATACACACAACCAACACGAACACACACACGCCGGCAAATAGCAAAGTCATATAAGATCAAAGCTAGCGTAGGCGAGAAAAAAAAAATATTGTGCATGAGTTTGTATTTTGCCTCAACGACAATACATGTTGCAACCTCTTTTAGTTTGCCAAGGTGGCCGGAGTATATATCTCTACAATTATTAGGGCAGATGGACAGGTACACATAACGTCTAGCTATTTTACGTGCGACGCTTCGCTTCGGCTATGTCGTACTTAGTGCGTGGCCGGAGAGTGGCGCGTGCGTGCATGTGCGTGGTCGGCTCCGGTGTAGAGCATTTTGCTTTCCTGCAGTATTGCGGATGCTGCCGAAATCGTAAGGTGTCGCTAGTACCCTACTAAGAAGACTCATTAGTTAACGGTCGTCATCTACCCTTTAAAACATGTCGTCATCTACAATTACATCCGGGAGATGCCAGTTGTGAGCAGTAGGTCGCCGTACGAGGTCATCACGTTGCACGCGACCAAACATATCAGAAACTATTTGAACGGAGATAACCGCCAGGAACACGTTTTGCAATTTGCACATTATTGTTGTCCCATAAACTGCACTAATAAAAAAACATACATTAGGTAACAGTATGGCTGCGGTCACCGAGGTGGGCTGGGGGAGAAGACGGCGGTTGTTGCAGGAGACGTCGTTGGCTGCGTCGATTTCGGCAAGAGACCATCCCTCGTCGTACCTAGCCATCCCCCCATCATCTACGAAGAAAATCATTAGGTAACAGTGGTCATCTACCCTTTAAAACAAGTCTTCATCTACTATTAGATCGGGGAGATGCTAGTAGTGAGCAGTAGGTCGTCGTACGAGTTCATCACGGAGACCATCCATCCAATTGCACGCGACCGAGCCACCGAAAGCAGCAGTACCAACCGTTAGCACGGCGGAAGCGCTCCCTCCGCGTCGTCTCCCGCGAGGCGGCCGGAGGCCAACCCCAACCCTCGCCGCCGCTCCCTCCTCCCCCCTCCTCCTCCCTCGCCGTCGCCCAGGGGCGCGGCCGGGCGAAGCCCTGCTGCTGCCAGCGGCGGCGGGGCCCCTTTGTCTTCCCGCTCGGGCGTTGCTGGCGCGGGCCGGCGCCCCGGGCCGGGTCGTGGAGCTGCGGCCGGGCTCCATGGTGGCGCGGCGGGCTGGGGCGGCTCCCTGTCGTCCCTTCCTCCCCCGTGGCGGGCGACTAGGCAGGTGGCGCGCCTGTGCCCGAGACGGCAGCGGCTCTTGCGCGACCAGATCTGGCTGATGGCGGCGCGGGCTGCGGGCGGTGCGGGCTGCCGGTGGCCTCCTCTGCCGTGGCCGCGGCAGGTGGTGGTGGCACCGCAGCAGATGGTGGTGGTGGTGCGGGCTGGAGGTCGAAGTCGGCGGCCGCGGCGGCTTTTTTGGATCTGGCCTCTCGACGACGCGGGCCGCGACGGCTAGGGCTGCGGGCGGCGGCCCTGACCGAGGCCCCCTCGGCTGGTCGGGGTGGCGGCGCAGTGGCGGTGGCTCCGGTGGTGCGTGTCCGGCGGCTCCGGCGCTTGGAGCTCGCCGGGCGACGCGGATGGGCAGCGGGCGTGGTTGCTGCTCCGGCCGTGGGCGGCGGCATGGGCAGGTCTCGGTGGCCTACCGGTGTTGTGGCGGCTTCACGGTGGCTCGATGGATCTGTCCGCGGCAACGGCTGGCTTCTCCGGCGTCGGTTTGTCTGCGTTCGGGCCGTCTCGACCTTCACCCCATCTCCACGTCGCCCGGACGCTACTCCCACCAAAGGGCTGGTCCTCTCCCAGCTCTGGTCCACCGCTCGTCTCGCGCCCAATGCAGCAGGACCGAGCTCGTCTCGCGCACGATGCAGCAGGACTGACCTCGTCCCCCCTCTCGTTGCTGCAGGACCGAGCTCATCTCGCGCTTGGGGCAGCAGGATGGGTCGGTGGATGCCAGTTCTAGCCGACCTATTGAGTCTCGACGCTGGGGGTCGCCCAGGGGCGTGAAAGGTGGGACCTTTCCGCTCGTCTCTTTCGTTGGGGGGCGGCGGGTCACGGGTGAGGTGGTGTCGAGGTCTTGAATGCTGGGGCGGCGCACTAGTAGAAAAAGGGTCAAATGTGAGACATATTAGTCCCGTTTTATAACAGAACCGACACTAATGTGTCCATTAGTGCCGGTTCCAACGGCTAGCCGGGAGGAGCTCTTTAGTACCGGTTCGTGGCAAACCTTTAGCACCGGTTCGTGCCACGAACCGGTACTAATGAGAGTGGTGGTAGGATGTTGTCAGAGTGGGGCCCTTCCAGCACCTTTAGTACCGGTTCGTGGCACGAACCGGTACTAAAGGTCGTCCTATATAAACCATTCGTCCACCGGCACTCTATTCTTCCCCCTTTCCCCTCTCCCTCTCCTCTGTTCTTCCCTTCTTCCTCTCGAGTTCATCACAAAATTTGCCCCAAATTTGTCAAGATTTGCAGGTCCTCATCCATTCAAATGATCAAGGTTAGCAACTTTGTCATTTCATCTCTCATTGCTAGATTAGCTGTTGCATTGGTTTATATAGTGATTAATTGTGGGTTTTAGT